GCAGTTTCGAGGTCGAACAACATTTGCCGAACTTGTGATTCGCTGAGCTCATCAGACGCTTGCATCGCGTTCAGTGTGTTAAGCCAGTTGGTAACCTTTTCCTTGCCTTCAAATCCAGATGGAATCAATGATAAGCGATTCATTGTGTCGACCAAGTCACGCAGTTCCGGATGCAATTTGTCCATGGCTTTGATTTCTAAACGCAATTTATCCATCAGTGTAATGAACAGCGACACAATATCGGCAATGCATTTGCTGGTATTGCCTTTGTCGTCTTTGATCGTAATCGGGCGATCTTCTTTGATGCGCTCCAATGAGAGTATTTGACGTGTGCGCCAGCGTATTTAAATAGGTGTAGTTGTTTAATGCGTATTTTCTTTTTTCTCGTATCTTTTTTTATTTCTACGCACTTTTATCTCGCGATGTTTATCAATCATCGTCACTGTTGTTGTTGTCGTCGTCGTCATCGTCCATACACAGCCTGCCGGATATTACGATATCAATTATCAGACACCCACCAGTCTTGGTGCTTCTGGCATACGTGATGGCAACTTGGGCTCCGTAGCTTATTCCACAATGTCCGATGGCCGATTCGCTCGAACCGATGATAATTCGAGTCCAGTCAGCAATGTTCCTAGTACAATGTCACAGCAAACTGGTTCCGGTGGTCCAATGCTAAATCTTCCGTATGCCTATTTCTATGTTGCAAACATGATGCCTGGAAGCTTTCAGTATGATACACCTGCACTATACCCGCAACAATTAGCCACGAATGCATCGTCGAATGCACAATTCGCCAAACCATCGTACAACAGTGCGTACGGTTCGTCTGGCTACGATGCGCTCGGTCAACCAACACAAGACTACAATAAGACTGCTTATCAAGGTAGCGGTACCCAGCAATCGAAGGGGCAAAATGTATCAAATCAGCCACCAAGTGGCACTGGAACAGACATTTCGTCAACGATGTACGGTAACAAAAACCATGCTGCTCTAAGCAAAGTCAATGTGAGTACAATGCATGAGTCACCGTTCATTTTGGGTTTTTTTT